CCATGCCTCCACACATCTTAAGAAATATATTATTTTTTAATAGACCTTTATTGGAGTATAATTGCTTCACAATACTGTGTTAGTTTCTGTTGTACACCAAAGTGAATCAGCCATATGCATACATATATCCCCATATCCCCTCCCTCTTGAGCCTCCCTCCCATCCTCCCCATCCTACCCCTCTAGGTCATTGCAAAGCACTAAGCTGATCTCCCTGTGCTATGCTGCTGCTTCCCACTAGCTATCTATTTTACATTCAGTAGTGTATATGTCGATGCTACTCTCATTTCGCCCTAGCTTCTCCCTGACACCCATTTTCTTCAAGTCCATTCTCTATGTCTATGTCTTTATTCCTGCCCTGCAACTAGGTTCATCAGTACCATTTTTTAAAATATCTAATCATGAAGATCACTAAAATATTAGCCATACATTTCCTTTTAATTTTCACTTACATTTGGAATATTAAAAAAAAAGTCAATCTCATTAGAAGCAGAGAGTAGAAAGTGATTACCAAGTGCAGGGAGTGGTACAATTAGGGAGAGTTGGTAAAAAGATACAAACCTTCAGCTGTAAGATGAATAAGGTCTTAGAATCTAATGCATTACATGGTGGATATAGTTGATAACACTGTATTGTATAATTGAAGTTTGCTAAGAGAGTAAAACTTAAATGTTCTTGCACATACAAGAAAAATGGTGTTAACCTGATGGGGGAGAATCCTTTCACAATATCTATGTCTATGTATGTCAAATCATCATATTGTACACTTTAAATATCTTACAATTTTATTTGTCATTTATACCTAAAGGAAGCTGAAAAAATAAAAATTCCTGATGTTGCAGAAATAAACTGTAATATATTACTATTTCACTCATATTTAAATAAAACCCAGAAAATTAAAAATAAAACCCAAACTGAAACAAAGCAAAAATTTTAAAATGGTGAACATCTTACATAATGAAATATGCATCTCAGCATTAACAGTTAAATAGAGAATGAACTGCTTTAATTTAAAAAAATCCTACAAAAGAAAAATGTATAAATGATTTAAATCTAAAACTGCTGTTTGTTCAAAAAACGACAAATGTTATAATGATTGTCACCTCTGAAGAGCTACATTCAGTGTCAGTGAACCTGTTTCTGCCAAATCTTATTGGAAAACAAGATGCCACATTGTCACCTGGAGTTGCTTGTTCATATCTGGCCCTGAGGATGTCATTTCTGTCTCCGAATGGCATAGAGGTAGTCCCTCCGGGCCAGAGTCAAGACTCATTTGTAGGTGATATGTGCAGAAAACCACACCTGCCCCGACCACCTGCAAAGATGGCTGGAGAGTAGATGACTTAGGCAGGCCTTAGAAAGGACTTCAGAGAGGCCACAAAACCCTGTAGGACACATTCAGTGGATGACTGCTGAGTACCATTGTTCCATTTGTACTACTGCATGAAAGTATCCCAAACTCAGTGGCTCAAAACAACTCTTTTTTCGAGCTCAAGGATTCCATGGGTCAGTAATTTAGGAAGGACTTGTCTAGATAGTTCTCCCCTGGGATTTCTCATGCAGTTGTGGTCAAGTATTGGGCTTGGGCTTTAGTATCTGAAGGATTGACTGGGCCAGACGTGGCTGCTAGTTGATGCTATTGGTTGGTGCTCTCCTGGGACTGTCATATTTGTCTATATCTGGCCTCTCCATGTGGTTTGAGTGTCTAAACTTGGCCTCTCTATGTGGCTTGGCTTCCTCACAGAATGGGAGGCTCAGGGAAGCTGGACTACTTAGGCTCTAGCTCAGGACTCCAAAATCCAGTAAGCAAAGGAAACTGTATTGCCTTGGAAGTCATACAGCACTGCTTTTCTGGATTTTGTTGATTATGAGTTAAGTCACTAAGGCCAGTTCACATTCAGGGAGGAAGGACAAAGACCCCATCTCTTGGTGGGGGAGTTTTAAAGAGTGTGTAGACACGTAAAGCTGCTGCAACCAGTCTCAATGATAGCCCTCTCTATTGATTGGAAGCCTAGTTCTTGCTACCTGAAACGGAGACCTAATATTTTCTTATTTCTTTATTTAGTTATTTATTTTAAAAACTTGTTTCCAAATTTGTCAGTAAGAGAGCCACACTGGCTGAAATGTTAACAACATTCCCAGGGATATCAGAAGTCTCCACAGAGCTACTGATAGAGTTTTACAGCTTGTCAATGACCCTAGTCTTTTTTTTTTTTTTTTGCGGTACGCGGGCCTCTCACCGCCGTGGCCTCTCCCGCCGCGGAGCACAGGCTCCGGAAGCGCAGGCTCAGCGGCCATGGCCCACGGGCCCAGCTGCTCCGCAGCATGTGGGATCCTCCCGGACCGGGGCACGAACCCGTGTCCCCTGCATCGGCAGGCGGACTCCCAACCACTGCGCCACCAGGGAAGCCCAGGTCTTAGTCTTTAAATGACATTTTGTGGATCTGGTCAGAGTGATAATTCTCTGGGGACAATTCCTCTCTAATATATTGATTGACACTAGTTTCAGTGTGCATCTTCTTAACGTATCTCTTTTCTTTCCAAAGAGAATTCCAACTTGACCAGAGGGATTTCAATTAGTGATCAAGCTGGTGGTGGAAGCGGAAAATTGCAGCACAAAGTGACTGAGGAGAAAGCGTGAGGAGGGTAGAAAAGTAATTGATGGGAGGCCAGATAGAATAATGAAGATGTAAAAGAGGAAAATCAGGATGGGAAATTGCTCAGGGCAGGTGGTTTGGCCTTTATGATAGTTTCTACATCCTATTTTCATATTTATAAAGCTTATAGATTTTGTGACTATGCAGCAATCCAAAATGTCATCAAAACTTTAACATCAGCTCTTGTGAGACATACGGGATGAAATCACTAAGAATGATATGGTCTGATAAAGTCACATATATTCCTCAGCAATTCTATTCCCCACATATTAGTATTAATGCCTCCATTTGTGAAAGGGAAGAGAAAATGACTCACAATGACTGAAATGCATCAAACAATAAGGAGAATTTTGTCTGCTGCTGAAACTAAGACAAAACAGGGTGGAACTGCAATCGTATCCTTCTCATATAGCTACGTCTTACCTGTGAGATCTGACATTGACAGCATTTTTCAAGTGGTAGGCTAAAAGTTACTACTAATGAAACCCCTCAAATCTGATCATCACCAAGTATTTCTTCACTCTGCAAATATTTATTTCCCTTTCTCAATGTCTTATTACATTGCTGCCATGCCAATGGTTAACTCAACTCCTCCACTATCCAGCAAGTTAGCCTTAGTCCAAACTCACCCAGATTCAAAATGGTCATTTCCATTTACTCTCAGCATTCCTAAAGCATTGCAACAAATAAAAGGACGGCATTTTTTTTTCTCAGATATTCGCCAAATATCCTGAGAACTGCAATTGCTAATTTTGAATCCCCTAGCACCGCAAGTTCTCCTGACTGCAAAACTTTCTTAGAGATTTAACGGGTTCCTGCCCACGGAGAGACTGATAAAGTACTTTCGAACCTTTGAGAATGACGCTAAAGGGAGCTGGATGAAGGGGGGTGGGGGCATGGCTGGAAGTCGGCACCAGCGCACAGGCAGGATTGGCTGCAGACTGAGAGCAATTCTGGGTATAGAATTCACTGGAATACAATGTTCCAAGACCAACTGCAGCAAATTATACAGGTGGAAATATGACAGATTGATGAAATACTGCTGGGAGGAGGGTGGGAAAGGGATGGTAGGGAGCCTCAGCTTCGATCACTTAGAAAAAGAAATACATTTTTGTCTCATTGTTTTCTACGTTGCTTTATGTACCTGATTTGTTGGCCTTGTTTTCTAGCATACGTAATGTTTTTCAAATGTCCATATTCTCCAGTGTGGACCAGTTGCCTGAGGTAAGACAGAGAAGTCAGATCCCAGCAACACTTAAAAGCTGTAAGTTCAAGGCAAGTTCTTCAAATTGCAGAGCGTGTATCCCCTTCTCTAATAGGGGCACATTTTACAGTACTTGCCTCATGAGGTTATAGGAAATTCGTCTCTATTCACACAATGGTTACACTCGGTGGCTAGGGAAAGGGTTTGGGGGATTGGCGGCTTCATTGCTTATATGGAGGGAACAAGAGAAGTATCATCAGCCTGTGGCCTTGTGGCGCATGAAGGGCCCCCACGCATGTCATGCAGAGGTGGGTGGGAAGGGCTTAGTCTGAGAATCAACTTTCTCTAAGCTGCCTCTTTCCTATCAGCATCTTTGCTCTCAACCCTTAAAGAAGCCCAGAATTTGACCCCCATCCTCACGCACCCCCACTGTAGACACCATGGGTGAAAATGTAAAATGTAGATGTCTCCTGGCATCCAGGCCTCAGAGTGGAAGACAGCAGTTGCATGCAGGGGCAGGAACAAGTCAGGGAGGATGCTTTCCAGACCAGGGGCCATACATGGGAAGCGGGATCCCTGGGTCCAGCTGATGGATCTGCACCGGAGCCCCGCACCAGCTGCTCCCCCCTGCCATCAGAACTGGGGTGTGGCCTAGGCTTCTCGCACAGCTGAGAGGCTAGGCACTTGGCTTTCTTTCTGGCGGTATGAGCTGCTGTTTTTCCTTATGCTTAAACATTCCTATCACTAAAATTATGAAAATGTTCTACAAAAAAATTTCTGAAATTTTGCAGAAAAATTGATTTACTTCTTGGTCTTTGTGCCTAATTCTAGTTACCAGTATATGTATATTCTCTGTAAATATTCTCACTTGAAGAACTTTCAAATATGGATATATGTTTAATTTTTAAACTATAGCAAACACAGATTTTTCTATTTAGGAATTTTTTATTTTTGAAGAAAGCACTAGAGCAGTGTTTGTCACTTTTTCTTTTTCTGGGTAGCTCTCTGCACCAGTTCTACTGAAGTTTTATAGAGAATCCATATCTTGTAAACCGAACCTGTGATTTATGCTTCTGAATGAATAAAATACAACTAATGGAGTTACTTTCTTCTCAGGCAAAGTATGAAGAAACTGCAAGAAAGAGAGGTATACCTTTTATTTAAAGAAAGTTGTAAGAAAATTAGTTATAAGTGGTAGCCTTAATAACAAATGTAACACTACCTGCAGCTATGGAATATGATTTGGAATTATGTAGCTTTCCCAAGCCTACCAGATCAAAGTGTATTAGAAAAAAATATGGTATTTTCCACCATATGTGGTCCATGTTGGCTATGTACAGCTCTGGATTTTTGTGGACCTAGGGAAGGGATGGACGGTTAAAAAATAAAGCAGACACTCAGTATTTGGGCCTGTGGAGAATCATGGGAAAGCAAAATACTTTTAATAGATTTGATTTTTAAAAGAACAAAAATAAGAATAGGAAAAGTACCATAGTGTTAATTAAAATTAATGTCTAAGGCAAGGTGAAGAATGAGACATAAATGTGGAGGCAAGATGTGGAAGCTTCTGGAAGAAAAAGAAATGCTTTGTTTCAGGGTTGGCTTGCTGCGTTTCCAGTCGGTCTGCAATTCATGAAGTGAAGCGTGGCTTAGTTTTGTGTGATCTAGATAATATAACATGACTCCTATTTCCCTCAGTAACTTCCTTTTAACATTTATGATTTTATGCATTTCAGGCCCCTCACTGGGTTATAAGATTGGAATGTAACTGTTAATTTTAGTTCGATGTCTTTGTGAAATGCATTCGGCTATCCACACAACATTTCTTATTTCTTGTTCCTTCAGCTTGGTATACGCATAAAACACACCATAGTGGAATTGCCTGTTGAATGCCAGCACATTCATCTGTACCTGGGGAAGGAAAGAAAAAACATGGACCATCAACTCTTCTGGAACATACTACTTTAATTAAATAATATTAAGCTACAGACTGGTTTGTGCTTGTGCAGTGCTTATCTGTATTTAAATAGACAATTTCTAAATTGTGTCAAAGAAAGGAAAGCAGTAGGAAATTCAGCAAGTCTAAAGGGAGAGCGTCACTCTGCAGAGAAAGGCAGACAACAGTAGTGTAAAAAGTAAGTTTGTAAAATCATAAGACAAGCTCCAAATCTCAGCAGCACTGCTAGCACCAAGATTCCTAGGAGGACTTTGGAGTGTGTGTGTGTGTGACTTTGTAGTGATATTTATTTGGCTTCTAGCTAGTAGGCTGGTCTCATTTAGATAAAGTATTTTTCCTTGGCCACAATTTTTTAAATTTTAAGGTGGTTTTTAGGCTATTGAACTCCCTTTCAGGGTAATGGCACAGGCCTCTGGAATTTGGACCAGGTGATATTATGAGTTTCCTTAGGATGCTCTGCAGCAACTTAACATGCAGTTGAATAGTGTTTTTCTGCAGAAGGCAGATCAGTAAAAGAAAATTTTCAAAAAACATTTTTTTAACTGGGGTACAGTCTAAAATGGAACAATTCCTTTATTCTTTTCCATTTAGAAAAAAGGAGAAGAGGTACTGAGTCCCACACGTAATTCTGAAAACCTCAAGCAAAGCAGTCAGGTAGGGGAGGCCCCCTGCTCTTAGAAACCGTCACACATTTTTCCTGGCAAGGGCAGCTCCTTTAACAGCTGTCTTTGCAGCAGAAGGGCAATAGTGTGGAATTTTAGAATACCCCTACTATATGGGAATACTTGCATTGCTTTTACTTCTTTCTAGAGAATTGTTGGAAAATGCCTAGAGTAGGACTTACAGGAAGACCCCCATACTGCTTTCTCAAGCCAGTTTAACCCTAAAGTGTGGGTGAATTTCAGGGTTCTCTGTTAATTCCAATCAGACTGAGATGGAAGGACCAGTGGTTTTAGGGAAATGGATAAAGTACACTAGAAAAAAGTCTCCAGATTTGGGGGACTTTACCTGGCTACACTTCCCTGAAGTCCTCTTGTTGCACACTTCAGTAGCTCAGGAATTGGCTATAAATGGATCAAGTATTCTTCTGCCTTTTCAGGGAAAGAGAATAATCTAGACGGGATGGATTTCCATGCAAATAATTCCTAAGTGTTCTAATTGTGCGCAGGAGTGATAAATCCTTCTTGAAAAAGGGATAGATTCGAGTGGGATGCACTTAACAGGGTGTGCTCCCTGGGGACAGTCAATATGTGATCATGAGAACATCCTAGCTTTGTTTCTCTAGATAATTACAGAATGGCTGCCTTACTTCCAGAGCTTTGCTATGTGCACATCTGTCTGGATATGACAATCCCACAAGAAGCCATCATATGTGAACCACAGTGCCTTGACTCTCCAAGGCAGAGATACTAACTAATACCCATTCAAACTATGAATGTATATAATCAATTGGCCTGATCAACTGTAAAAAGAAAACTGTAAAAAGAAAACCCAAGTAAAAAAAAAAAAGAAATACTAAGACCCAGAGTATGAGAAAAAGAGTGCATAAGCTAGCAGCATTTCCATTTACATCATACCTCACGCTCATAAAACACATCCTCCAATGTCTTTCCCCCACTGCCATCACCTACAGCCTCAAACAAAGCCTTGTATACCTGAAAAACAAAGACAAGAAATTGTTTTTTTAACAAATTTTCATTTTTTATAAGTATAAAAACTATATTTTTCCAGCAATATAGAAACTGTGCACCCATCTTAGAAAATCTATCCAGAAGGCCACAATTTTTCTTGTAGGATCTTTGGCTTCTTGAGGAAATACCAAAAAATCCAAACAACGAGAGTACAGATGGCATTCCATTATATTGGCTTGTTCAGGCCTACAAGGCAAGAGGCAAAAGCAGTTCTACTTTCAGTGTATACTGAGCTGATTTCCACATTTGATTCTTAGGGCTAGTTAGACACATTATAGAGGCTAAAGGAGTGCTTGTGGTTTAATCAGTATGGCTTCATGGGTTCTTTGAGATGAAAACTGATTAAAATTCATTATGGAATTTCAAGTGAGGAATGGGTGGAAATTGGGGAGAAACTCAAATTTTAATATTATGCTAAAGAACCTCTTGCAGTGACACAAGAGATGTCACAAAGGTTCACGCATTGTCTGCTGGCTTATCTTTCCTGGAGGGTTTCGGAAATCCATAGGCAAAGATAAGAGGGGTGTCATCCCAGTTCTAGAAAAGCTACCTGGAGGGTCTGTATGTTACTGTCTGCAGGTCAGAAGGAACGGTACCAGGGGATGAGGTTATAACCTTGAGCTAAGAAGCTTCAGGCTCTCTAAGAGCAATTGGGTGCTGGAGTGGGAGAGGACATAGCAGCCCTCCTTTCTTTCCCGAATCCTGGACACTGAGCAAAGGGAGTGGTATAAACAGTATGTCCATATTTTCCGCTGTCCTTCAAGTAGACAGTCTGTACCTAACACTGTTTGCCCAATGGGCACTTGAAAGAATGGCTGGGTCAGGCTCTTTTACATAACTCTGGCATGAGCTCACATTTCCAGAACACTGCACCAGTCTCTTGGGGAACTTGCTTTATCAAGCACTTCAAAAAAAAAAAGGGGGTCAAATGACCGTTCCTTGGAGATTTAAACAAGTACTTGCTTGGCAGGGACCTTAAAAAACACCAATAGCTTGGGTTAGAAACTCAGCGTATTTCTTTGGGAGAGACATTACAGCAAGAGATACTGCTTTCTATTGCACAAACATTATAAATGTTTTAGATAGATAGGAAGTGTAAATGTGATATGCGGGCTTCTAAAGTACAGGTGATGAAACCACACAAGACATTTCGGGAACCCGGGATAAACACATACTCCATGGTCCGCTACCCTCTTCATTTGCTCGAAGTCCTCTGCTTGGGCCAGCAGGCGCAGTCCCTCGGGATAGAGCTTGCCACAGGTCGGGTAGAGGGTCTCGCGGTCCTCTTTGCTCAACTCGGTGCCAAAGGAGTTAAGCGTGATGATAAAAGCACGTCTGTCTGCCTCAAACTGAATTTGCAAGACATAAAATCAGTGAAATTGAACCATCTACTAGACGCTCTAGACAAATTCATTTCCAAAATGATTTGCTTTCCTTTCCTGATCTATGTCTAATTATAATACAGACATGTGTTATTAATGTTCCCGTAGTCTCTTCCTGTAACGGAGTAACTCTGCTTGCCAGAGAAGGATCACACAGCAGTGACAACAGCCCAGGAGCCCAGGACCTCCCACTAAACTTCAGTTCCCAGGCTCTCTGTTACTAGTTACTCATGTGTCTCTCTCATGTAGGCCACTAGAGTCTCAAATGTGTCTTCCATAATAATTGGAATAATACCTACTTGCTGGGGTTGATTCAGAGATAGAACAAGGTAATGTAAATAGAAGGGCTTAGCAGAGTGTTTAGCACAAAATGTGCATATCATGCATGTTAAACATCCCTTTCTGATTGTTGATGTCAGTAGGATTTTTTACGTAATGAAACTGTGCTACTTACAATTCGTTTGTACTTTCCTGGTTTTGTTTTTCTTCTTTAAAGTTCTAGGTTAGATATCAATAAATTTAAGTCTGTAGCTAAGGATTACAGGGCTCGGGACAAGTGATCTTCCTCTCAGGGCCTCAGTTTTCTTATTTGTAAATGGTGGGGTTTGGCTACACGATCTCTCAAGTGGGTCACATGTACTCCCGGCCTGTCTTCTCTGTGTTGAGCACCACTAGGCACCCAAGCTCCCAGCCCGTCAGGCCTCTCTGTCTTATCTAACCACGGAGTCCTTCTTGAAATTGCTTTCTCTTCCTTTGGACTCCTCTTAGTTTTCCTTTTACCTACTCTGACTATTTCATCTCAGTCCTCCATGGGCATCTCCTCTGCCCACCATGGGAGTTTGCCATGATATCCTTGGGCTAAGAAAGCCTTCTCCATCCACCCAAAGCAACCTGCACTTACCACATTATTTTAAAATCTGTGCATGTGTCTTTCACCCCACCACACTCTAAAATCTTTGAGAGATCATGTCTCTCTCGTTGATTGTTCAATTTTAAATATCCAGTGCCTGACACAGGAAGATCTTAACTGTTTACTAAATCCAATGGAATGGTCCACGGTTCTACTATGGTTCTACTATTTTAAAAATTCTCTATTATTCTCTACAATGTTGCTATCCAAGGTGTGTTTCAAGGATTAGTAGCTTTGACATCACCTGGAAGCTCGTTAGAAGTTCAGAATCTTAGACGGTAGTCCAGACCTAGTAAACCAGAATCTGCATTTTAACAAGATTCCGAGCTTATTCATATGCACACGAAAGTTGAAATGAATTGCTCTACAATACTATTTTTGACTAATTAATAACAAATCCAGACTTGCACCAGATTTTACTGGAACTCTTTTGTTAGAACAGGTGTTTCCTATCAGTACAGTGAGAGTTGGTTCCTTCTGATCCTTTTGATTGCTCTCATGGAAATTGTGGGTGCGCCAGAAGTGAGGAGTGGGCTTATTCGGAAGCAAAGGCAGCTGCCTCTGGCTACTGAATATATCCAGTCCTGTCGGTAATTTCAGACTGTCCAAGAATAAAAGAAGAAATGCAAGAGGGAGATTTCATGGCAATAAAAAAACCTTGAAATAATAGGGCAGGGGGAGCAACAATGGAGTTAATTGTCCCAGATGACCTTCAACGTCCTTTCTAGTTCTAGAATGTTAAAATAATAAGGAGAGAAATAGGGCCAGGTAGGCAGCACTGCAGATATGCAAGGCAGGGGAGGCAGCTGCATGGAGTAGAGCATGACATTTTGGAGGAATGGCCATAGTTCAAACCCTGGGGAAGCAGCTGGAGAGGCAGGATGGACAGGTAGCTGGGAAGAGAATAGGAAAGGCTTCACAAGCCATGCCAAGAAGAAAGGACTTTGACTGATGCGGCTGGTTATCTGAACACGCCACACACTTTCCAACTTCTTGTCCTGGTTAACATTTGTTTCCTTTGCCTACAGAGCACATACTCCATCCCATGACTCTCCAGGTTGAAATCCTACCTGCATTTGAGGGTTCCATCAAATGTAATCTTTTTCTTAAGAAGCCCTTCTCTTTCCTCTCTAATTAGATATGATTTCCTTTGACTCCTTATTATACTATAATTTCCCTTTTATTATAACTGTCTATCTACTTTACTACTTCTAGCCTAGGGGCTCTGTGTGTGTGTGTGTGTGTGTGTGTGTGTGTGTGTGTGTGTGTGTGTATGTGTATTCTCTTAGTGAAAAGAACTGTAATTTTTGAATTGTAAAGGAGCTATGCTGTCTTTGACCATCCCTAAGCAGACAGTTTGCTATGACATCTGATTATGGAGGACAGTAGATGGGGTGGTACTAGTTTCCTGTAAGCCCTGTATCATTTTCAGAGGGCAGCCAGCCTGTGTGGCACAGTGTACGTCGGATGTCTTTCCTTTCACTCTACCCTTCAAACACTCACGCATTTTAAAACCATAACTTATTTTTTGTTGTTGTTGCAAAAGATAACCATGCAGTGTTGATGTATTCAAAACCATTATCCGTTGCTCATGATGGAGTTGGGCTCATCGAGTCAAAAATTCTGGCCAGTTCCTTACAGGAGGAAGGGTCTCCCTGGTGGGAGCCTTATTAGCATGTGTACTGACCGAGGGAGATGAAACAAACATATTCTGTGCTTATTTTTCACTGCTGCGTTAACCTTACAAACCGTCAGAAGAGCAGGAATAAGAGGCAAACAGTACACTGCAGCACATTTGCCTGCACCATAAAAAATTTCTTTTTTTAAATATGAAGCTACAGTCTTGTGATTAGGTCACATTTTAACCTGCAAACCTAGGTTAATGCCCTCTTCCACTGTATTCAGTCTTTTAAAGTCTCCTATCAAATGAGATCAAATGAGAATATGGAAGAACTTCAGAAACTCTAAGTGCTCTATAGTTGCACAAATAAAAGGGGAAGTAATTACATGATCTGGTATATTTATATAAAACTGACAAGCCTCTTCCAATCATATCATTAGAAATGTTATAACTGCATAACATACATAACTGATATTTTTATATAAATGTACAAAGATAGTTAAATGGATTTTTATTTTTAACACAGCTTGAAAAAAATCTAATCTAATAAGGTAGTATCATGGGTATAGGAAAGGGACAAAGAGAACACAGGGTATATAGTATTTTGACCAAATCCTCCTGGTGATAAGCATTCTGCTAATACTGTGCTATCCTTTTTACATTTACAAAGACATAATTCTCATTTACTTCTGATTTTTGTAGCACGTGCAGTATGATCTTTTTTTTCAGTTTTTTTTTTTTTTTTTTCAGTACGCGGGCCTCTCACTGTGTGGCCTCTCCCATTGCGGAGCACACGCGCCGGACGCTCAGGCTCAGCGGCCATGGCTCACGGGCCCAGCCGCTCCGCGGCATGTGGGATCCTCCCGGACCAGGGCACGAACCCGTGTCCCCTGCATTGGCAGGCGGACTCTCAACCACTGCGCCACCAGGGAAGCCCGTGCAGTATGATCTTGCTTAAGAATTAGCACAGAAGAGCAGTTTTTATACAAAAGAACTGTGCAGGTGAATTTGATGTAGACATAATTTAACATAGATAAACATATAAGAACTGGAGCCAGACTACCTGTATTCAAATCCTGACACTACCACTTACTAGACATCAGGCCACTTACTAGCCTTCTCTGCACCTCAGTTGTCCCTTCTGAAAATGAGGTACTAAACTACCCATCTCATTGTGCTATTTTGAAGTCCAAGTGAATTTGTGTATATAAAGCACTTAGGATAGTATCTGGTATATAATAAGTGTTAGCTATTAATAGTGCCATTGTATACCTCTGCAAGGTTATTATTTTTTCTTTTTTTGTTGAATGAAAGATTCTTTAAATACTAAGTGCTTTACAATTTTGAAGTTTCACATTTCATATAATCCCGGAATAACCTTTTTGTCCCCCTTATCCCTATATTACCCCTGCCCCCTTCCCTCTCCCCACTGGTAACCACTAGTTTGTTCTCTGTATCTGTGAGTCTGCTTTTTGTTTGTTCATTTGTTTTATTCACTGGTTTGTTCTATTTTTTAGATTCCACATGTAAGTGATATCATACAATATTTGTCTTTCTCTGTCTTATTTCACTTAGCATAATGCCCTCCAATTCCATCCATGTTGCTGCAAATGGCAAAATTTCATCCTTTTTTATGGCCAAGTAGTATTCCATTGTATATGTGTAACACATCTTCTTTACCCATTCATCTGTTGATGAACACTTAGGTTGCTTCCACACCTTGGCAATTGTAAGTAATACTGCTATGCACATTAGGGTGCATGTATCTTTTCAAATTAGTATTTTTGTTTCTTTTGGCTATGTACCCAGTAGTGGAATTGCTGGGTTATGTGGTAGTTCTATTTTCCGTTTTTTGAGAAACCTCCATACTATTTTCCACAGTGGCTGCACCAATTTACATTCCCAACGACAGTGTATCAGGGTTCCCTTTTCTCCACATCCTTGCCAACAATTGTTATTTGTATCCCTTTTGGTGATAGCCATTCTGACAGGTGTGAAGGTTATTAATTTTAACATTAATATTTTCCTACATATTTTGTAGGTATAAAGTACATGAACCATTTCTAAACCACAGGAATTATGCCATGTACAAACTACTTTTTTTTTTTTTTTTTTTTTTGCGGTACATGGGCCTCTCACTGTTGTGGCCTCTCCCGTTGCGGAGCACAGGCTCCGGACGCGCAGGCTCAACGGCCATGGCTCACGGGCCCAGCCACTCCATGGCATGTGGGATCTTCCTGGACCGGGGCACGAACCTGTGTCCCCTGCATCGGCAGGCGGGCTCTCAACCACTGCGCCACCAGGGAAGCCCCAAACTACATTTTTGAGCCAGAGATAATGTGGCTTTTTATAGTGTGGCTAGTAGTTAAATTTATGAAAAGAAATGGGGGAGCTTCATAGAGTCACTAGGCTGCTTGTGTTATGTTATCAGCATGTCTGGAAGAGACTAACTCACTTTCTGACAATTAGCATGCCATGAAAAAAAATGTTATTTATCGATGTGCACCGTCTGTATAATATAGATAAAGACAAAAAATATTTTTTGGAGTTCTCCAAGGAGTTCTGACTTCAAGGACTGCTTTGACCTTAAAGTTTTAACAGTAGCTTTAACTGTAAGATGTTAATAATTAGGTATTTGAGGGGAGCTAATTTTATCAAATGCAGTTTCAGAACATTTGGTTGAAATATATGCAGATGAGGTTATTTCAGGTTTTTTTCTCTTCAAACCCAAAGGGTAGTTCTTATCAGGCTTTTCTTGAAATCAGAAGTCACTGAACAGCTTAAATATCTACCCACCAGTGTAGAAGCCACTGTAACAGATAATCTAATGGTTAAAGATATTCTTTAGATAAAACTTTGTTTCACAGGGCAAAGTGAGAGCTTTTTCAGCCCAGAATGGTTGTTTTTTTTTTTTTTTTTTTTAAGATCCAAGCGAAATAGGAAGCCAGCAAGAGTGATCTATGTCAAATACTCAGTGCAAACAACGCCCAGAATTCCCCTCCGACCATTCTGATCTCTGGCCTGGGTCCCTCATGCATGTGCAGATTGACATTGCAAGCAAGAGGTCCTGTGGGCACAGATGAAATCTGTGATGATAAAGAGGAATTAAAGAGAATATAATTATTCTCTTTTAGAGAGGTTGGAACCAATGGTGGCATCTGACACATTGTGAGGTTTAAGTGGGCATGCCAACTGTGAATCACTACCCATAGAATCTTCTTGCCAAGAGTGGGGATGCTCAATGGTTGTTTGGGGCAACCTTTATTTTAGGATTTATATAAGGAACCATGCCCACAGTAGACTTTGTTGCCAAGTTGTGGGGGTCCCCAGCTGCCCAATTTTGGGAGGGAAGTTGGTGATTATTATAAGAGTACCTATAGTGCACCAATTGTCCAAAGCATACTAAATTTTTAACTAATTATAATCTGCTTTCTTCATACTACATCAAAGTGAATCATGATCAAACTTCTATCAAAAACATTCTTTTCTAATTCCAAAGTAACTCTTCTATGTAGAAAACTAAGAAAATACCTCTTTTAACTGAAGACATCAAATGATATATGTACAATAAAATATACTGCTATTTTATTTCTAAATAAAAGAACTTCTAAGATTTTAAAAATTGGTAGGATTATATAAATAAAAAGTGTATAAGCACATTATTTGACATAAAAAAATTCAAGGACTCTTTCTTACCTCAAGAATGGGGCACATAATTTCTGCTGTGACATCACCATGATTCTTACAGAATTTATAGAATGCCTCGATGTAAGACTTAAAAAGAAGAAAGATCATAAGGCAAGAAAATGAATATATTTTCCTTTTGGAAATTTCTAGATCAGCTTTCCATGGGTTATTAAACTCTTTAATGGAAATTGAATTACTTCTCCCCTAGGGAGATATTTTATAATAAATTTGGTGTAAACTTTCACCTTGAAGCACATTGCACAGCCTAAAAAAGGAACTCCACAAAAGAACAAAATTGTACTTATCATAACTTATAATTACTCAACAAGCACTTTTTTGCATGCCTCTTGGATTATTTCTCACTGTTAATTCTTGCTATTCTAACAAGAGTGCCAAACTCTCTTATGAGCTCTGCAAATAAGTCTAGATTTGGTCCTATGCTGATATTTAATGTGCTCAGGAGACACATTTGGGATGGCATTGAGCATGGAAGATACACTGGAAAGGCAGAGTCTAGGCTGTAGAGGCAGCCCTGTGTTTGAGTCCCAAATCTGTTACTTACTAGCTAACTGACTTCTGCCAAGTAAATTTACCTCTCCGTGCTTCAGTTTTCTCATCTGAGGAATGAGGATGGCACATAGTTTTGCTGGGTGGATTAAGTGATCTAATGCCTTTAAATGCTTAAAACAGCACCTTCTGTTAGCTATATCTCAGGGATGCTTCCTCTAAGCCCATAAGTCTTTATATAAAAAGGAAAACTGCTGCAATGCAATGCTTTTGAGAGGCCCACATGTTTCAGCATAAGAAGCTAGATATACAGCATGGCAATGTATACATATATATATATTCATTCAGGTACTCTATGAGAGTGTCCAAAGATGCTGTAGTGGTGTGAGTGAAAATGGATATATTTTGCTCAGCCCTTATTACACAGAATGACTCAAATGGCAGCAGCGTAGTCCAGACAGACAGCTGGTCAGATTATACAAAGTGGTGCCTATGATGTTGTGTCCACAGATGGTCATCTTGGTATGCTGCACACTGTCAGTAGATTAAAATTGTGTGGACAGATTAACTGTGAAATTCAGGGACTCTGGTAACAGGATTGAGGACAGAGATGGACATACATAACACAAGGTTCACTATGTATGCTGGTTCTTTTGAAATGGATTCATATGGTTCACCACACTCATCTGTCCACCCACCCATCATCCATCCATCCATCCATCCATCCATCCATCCATCCATCCATCCAATTGACACCTTTTATGTTCCAGGCACCATGTAAAGAGTTAAGGATACAGAGACGCATGGGATCCTCTCAAGGATCTTGCTGGCTGGGAGAAGTTGACATACATGTATTTAACTAGAAGACAGGCCAGGACTAAAAGATCTTTGTCCCCAGTATGCCTAGCTTCATAATTCAGCAGCTGGCTAACAGGCAAGTAACATTTAATAAAGAACTCTGGTTATGATGCATTATGTAATAAAGAAGAACATAATATTGGGGGAAACAGTTACCTTGTACAGTTTATTGCGCAGTATTTCAATATTCAGTTCGTCTAGAGTATTTTCAGACATACAGTCTTGAAAGAATGGAGCTGAAAGCAGAAATTATTGTACAAAATAAATTAATCAAAACATGATTATAAACTGTAGAAAATGTCTCCTGAATGCACCACCCTCTGCCCACCCCTAACTAGGACACTGTGGAGTGGCAATCCACAGACTCGGTGAGGCTAACAGTGATGGTGACAAGAAGGGTGATTACTTAGGAAGCATTTGCTCTGTGCAAGCTGTCACTAAACACTGGATATACCTGAACTTATTTAATCCTCACAACCTGGAACTACTCACTTTATGGTTTACTTTTTGAAGCCCCCCCCGACACCCGCCTTTAGATAACAGTAATATTTACCATTTGCAACCTTACTATGTGCCAACCATTGAGTTGTATTAAAACCGTCTTAGTTTTCAAAACTCTGTTATAGTAAGATATTATTGTTTTTAAAATGAAGAAACTGGAGTGAAATGAATTGTTCCAAGTCACCTGGCTGGTGGTGGGCAGAGCCTGTCATACTTAGGGATATCTGCTTTCAGACTCACCCTCTTTCTGCCATGCTATGCTCCATTAGCACTGGACACTTAATAAAGATGTAATTTTTTTCTTTTTAAAATTTGTTTTAAACAGCAACTATTTTGATGAATGATCAACAGTGAATAACTATAATCCAGGTTTCCTGACAATAACTGTATAAAATTATCCCATTAGTATTTTAAATGCTACAGCTGTTGTCAGTGCCAAATTATAATGAAATTATTATTTATTTCATCATTGCTTCAGGTCATTAGACAGACACTCCTGAGCATCTCAGAAAAATGGCATTCTTAAATTTCCTAAAACAAAATGTTTCCTATATGCAGCCTTATAAAGACAGAAATTTAAAATGAAAAGATAAGGAACTAAACATACAAAACCCAGCTAGAAAATTAATTTTTTGAAAAATTATAAGTTCTATTATTTATTTGCTATGGTCAGGAACAAAGTACAGGGGTTTGGAGGTTGGGAGATGAGCCCTAACTCCTTCTCAGCTACAAATGGTTTGCATGTGATCTGGTATACTTCATTGTCTTGATCTGAAAAATGAGGGAGCTGGACCAGATGATTCTTTAATGTCCATTTCACTTCTAGGAATCTGTATAGTACGACACTATATTCATGGAGAAAACTGTGAATTGAAAGTGCATTTTCTAATACTGTGATAACATACACAAGCAGCTGTGCAATGATTTATGCATTCATACCTAATGGTGTTTCAACCAGAATGGCATTAAAGAGATCAGAAGGTGTCTCTGCAATGTTGACTGCTTCCATTTCTGTGAAACGGCCCAACGGGTGGCACTTCACCAGAATTTCTTTCACAGATTTTTTTTGCAATGCACCGTTCATCAGTAGAATCACATTATCTATCATGTAACTGCACCTGGTGTAGAAGAGGGCTCAATCGTTAGGAAAACAGTTGCATGAGAACAAGAAGCATCCCTCAGGTAAAAAACAAAAAACAAAACAACCCCCCCCCCCCCCACATTTCAGGCACACACGCTTTCGTTAAGGAAATATATATCTCCTTTTATTTTAAACTCTGGGTTTTGAGAGATGTAGGTGAGGTAAAATATCTGACTCTCAGAGGGTACCATAGTTTGAAAAACCATGTTCACAGTTATAACACCTGACTGGTGGGACCACACAGAAGATGACCCTTACACAGTAAATGCCAAATGTGGTGGGTGGGGCAGACAGTAGTGAGGGTGTTAAATTGTTTGGTTTCTCATAATGGACTATGGGCTTAAAAAGTTGAGAAACACAGACCTAAAGCGTTTCATTATACTTCAAAAACTGACTATTTAAATCTTTGATGAAGCTCATTGTTGAGTATTCGATGTTTTAAATATTTAAAAATAAATAAAAATATTTAGTCATTTTAATATTAAAATGTTTTATATATTAAAAATTAAAGTATTCTGTTTTTTTTTTCCTCCTATGAGAGCAGATAGTCAACTTTCTAGCCTTTTCCCCTCCCAGAACCCCAAGAGCCCATAGGTTCACACTTTATGTGATTTCTCTATTCAATATAAGCTCTACCCAGGATATTCCAAGCAATGAGGTCAAGAAGTAAGAGAGACATAGTTGCTTCCTTCACAGAAAATACAGCTTAAGGGAGGCACTGGTACATTGCAGTGCAGCATACAGTCTGCATAAAGGAGATTACAGGGTGGTGTGGGGATTCAGAGCTGGGCACTAAACCAGTCTGGGATCAGAATTCCTAGGGAGTGACATTCAGGCTGCAACTTGCAGAATGATTAGGAGCTGTCCAGGCAAAAGCGGTGGCTGGGAAAGAGTGCTTCCGGGCAGAAGGGAGAGCATGTGAAAAGCCCCAGAGACAAGAGGGCCAGGAACAAGGACGTTCTTTTGCCTGCTGAGCACTGGAGGTGGGGCCCAGTCTGAACATGCAGGGTCCTGAAAGACAAGATGAGGAATTTGGATTGAGAGCAATGGGAGATGCTGAATACGTCAAGGATAGGGGGAATTATGATCTATGTAGATAGAATATGCATTAAAACAGGATAAGAAGTAAGCCAACACTTATATAGTAAAGTGCTTTACAAAAGTTATTTTATTTAATCACGATAATTACACTGGGATGATGATAGGTACTATTATTACCTCCGTTTTATAGATGAGGAACTGGCAGCCCAGACAGGTAAAAATCTCACCCATAACGACACAGCTAACAAATGAAGAGGGCTGAGAATCAAACTCAGACAGCCTGCTTCTGAAACTTTTCTCTTAACGCTCAGATTATGCTGTGTTTAGTTGTCAAGGATGACACATAGGTTTCTAGGTTTAACAGTTAGAAGCTGGAGCCATTTATTGAGATGAGAGCACTGGAGGAAGAACGGCTTGTAGTGGGAGCTGATGTTTGGACCGAATGAGTTTAGATGCCCAGGAGGAGATACCCAATAGGCCTCGGACGTCTAAGTCCTGAAGAGACAGCTGTGGACCAGAGACATTTAGGGAGCGTGGGCAGGGGGTGCTAGTTTAAAGGTGGAAGCAGATGTCTTGGGAATGCTTGAGACCACATTCTAGAGTGTATGTCAAGAGTTCTGTCCTGAGAACTCTGGGGAACCCCAACATTTAAGGACCTTGATAGAACCTGAGAAGGAATGACCAGATGGTAGGAAGAAAACCAGGGAAGAGAATTCTAGGAAGAGGTTAAAGGCCACAGGAAAGTCAGGGTAGACATTGAAGCAAGGTGTTCTCAGGAAGCAGCCACTAAGAGGTCATCTGGCACCACAAAACGTGTTCAGTGGAGTTTGCTTGTGGAAGGGAAAGGGGAGAAGCCAGAAACCTGACCACTGTGTGTTTAAAATGAGTGGGAAGTACAGAGGGTTTTGGAATGTTTAATTGCTTTGTTTTTTAAAAGAGTTTAAACTATAAAGCAGGGGAAGGCAACTGTATGGAGACCCAGGGGCCAGAGGAGCTTTGGACTTTCAGTTTGGGTGTATTTTTCGGTTTTTTTGTTGTTTTTTAAGGTGGGAGAGAAGAGAACACATTTAAGAGCTGAGGGGAAAGAGGCGGCCAAGAGGCTGAGGTGGCGGCTCAGAAGATGGAAGGGACAGCCAAGCGATGAGACAAGGTCCTCCACGTTTGGCAGTGATGGGACTCAACTACTGCACAATTAAGGCTTGAAAAGAACACCTTTCACTGGATGAAAATGAACCTGGCCACTTAGAAGCCCTGTCACTGGAGTCTGGCGGCAAGGGTTACTGACTTCCTGTGCAAGAATGCATTTCCAGGGCTTCCCTGGTGGCGCAGTGGTTGAGAGTCCACCTGCCGGTGCAGGGGCCTCGGGTTCGTGCCCTGGTCCGGGAGGGTCCCACATGCCGCGGGGCGGCTGGGCGCGTGAGCCATGGCCGCTGAGCCTGCGCGTCCGGGGCCTGTGCTCTGCGGCGGGAGAGGCCGCAGCGGTGAGAGGCCCGCGTAACGCAAAAAAAAAAAAAAAAAAAAAAAAAAGAATGCATTTCCAGCAGGATAAGAATCTCCTGCATTGCAACTGAGCTTCCGCAATGTACCCCAATAAAATTTTTACCTAAAGAAGTTTAGAAGAAGGCAATTATCCCTTTATAAAGAGCACATGACTATAAAGTTTCTTCACTCCCCCAAACAGCAGTACCAAATTTGGACATTATCGAATTTTAGAACCCTTTTTATCTCTTGAAAATGATATTAAAATGGAAGTGCTTATTTAACTGTCCCCTTATGGCTCAAAAGCTATTACCTGAGAGGGGAATTGCCAGCACTTAATAATCCTTAGCAGACTCCAGATGTTTAATTGCTCCCCCTCAGCACCCCTGTAATGTAACAGCATATGAGCCGCCAACATTCCCAATGTGCAGAGGACAATGAGACCAACGCTGACAGGGGAAACCAAAATCAATGCTGTGAGAATTTAGCCCACACGTAACACTCAAGCCTATGCCTGTACATGTGTATGTGTGCACATGTGTGTCTGGAGTGCTTTTTTTTTTAAAAATTAATAGAGAGGCTAGGCCCTCTATTGCAAAGAGCAAGGGCTATGGAGATTGAATTGTTTTATTTCAACTCATTTAAGTGGCCTTGTTTCTAAGATGGGACAACAGTAGCAGTTCTCATAGTTTTGTTCAGAAAATGAAATGAGACTTAGGATTCGGCCCATGGCAGGGGAGAGGGGTATCTTTCCTGTCCCTCCCTCATCTCTGTCACATAGGCACCAGGTATATAATTATTATTGGCTGTTTGGGATGGCGGGGGGATAATGTGCCCAGAAGACAGCTTGCTCTTTCCAGAGTATAATCTTGATAGAACTCTAGGGCCCTGCCTCCAGTGGTTAGGAAGGAAATCTCTACTGGCGTTGTTTGAGTAATGTTTGAGTTTAAAGACATCTGGGTGCTCACCTAGCTCAAACTCCTAATGTTTTAAGTAACTGTGCTTATTAGTAACAACAGAGCCAAAACTAGTGCCCACTCTATTGGGCTAATTTTTCTCCCACTCATGGTCTAGACAAACATCTTCACTTCTAGCCCCTTCTAAATATTTTCTTCTGTAACTTTGATATTGGTACCTGTGAAAATCATGAAGTCACCTTAAATTGTAAGAGTAAATGACTCTATTTCAAAAATTTTAGGTTGTAAAAATAATTTTTAAAAATGCCAATGCTTCTTGAGGTTGTTGCTATGTGCCAGGCATTACATGCTTTACACTACATTACATTACATACATGCAGTACCTTATATGCATTACATGCATGTTCCCATTTAAGCCTCCCCACAAGTCAGTGCTCTAAGGACCATTATTACCACCACTTTACACATAAGAAACTAAGGCGGGCTCCCCTGGTGGCGCAGTGGTTGAGAGTCCGCCTGCCGATGCAGGGGACGCGGGTTCGTGCCCCGGTCCAGGAAGATCCCACATGCCACGGAGCGGCTGGGCCCGTGAGCCATGGCCGCTGAGCCTGCGCGTCTGGAGCCTGTGCTCCGCAACGGGAGAGGCCACAACAGTGAGAGGCCCGCATACCACAAAAACAAAAACAAACAAACAAAAACTTTTATTATAAGTTTAAATACTGCAAAAATATTTCTGGTATATTGTGAATGTCAGTATTTAAAATGAACCTGTTAAATCAGTCAAATTAAATTATCCAATGAAGAATCTGAATAACCACTTGCTAAAGACAGATTTTTGTCCCCCTAAAATTCATGTTGAAGCCCTAACCCCCAATGTGATGGTATATGGAGATGGGGCCTTTGGGGCTATTAATTAGGTTTAAGTGAGGCCATGAGCGTGGGACCTACATGATGGGATTAGTGTCCTTATAGGAATAGACACGAGAGATCTTGTCCTCTCTCCCTCTGCTTCATGAGGACATAATGAGAAGGCAGTTGTCTACACGTGAATAAGAGAGCCTTCCCCAGGGAACCAAATTGGATGGCACCCTGATTTTGGACTTCCATGCCTCCAAAACTGTAAGAAATCAATTCCTGTTGTTCAAGTCACCCAGTCTATACCATTTTGTTACAGAAACCCGAGCTCACTAAGACACTACCACTATTCAATTACAAATACATAAACAGAAGGAAATTATGTTGTTCCTTATTTTTTTTTTTTCTGGAAATGTTATTTCTATTCCAATTCTCTGATGAAATTTTACCCTAATATGGCATTTATGTCTTTATATTCAAAGTCTTTTATGGCTCTCTATAACTCTATGTACATATAATTGAATATTATTTTTCATTTCCTGTGATCACAGGCTTCAAATGTTAGAAGAAATTTTATGAGTTATTATTGTGATTACTACTATGTGGGCGCACCAGCATGGCATAAATTTTTAAAGCTTTTTATCTTGAAATAATTAGGTTGACAGGAAGTTGCAAAAATAATACA